AGGCATAATAATTACATTGTTTAAATCGATGTCTATTTTTAAACTAAAAGGATATAATCATGTTTTTATATAATTAGTCTTGAAATAAAAAATATTTTAGGTCTAGATTGGAAAAAAATATAAAATATAGGGTCTTTTATGAAATAAAAATACTTAATTTACTTGTTAGGGTCTAAAATAACAAGTCAAAGCTAAAAGTTAGGTCTTTTTCGGAAAAAAAAAAGTTTTATGTCTAAAAAGAATAAAAATCAAAATATAGGGTCTTTTATGAAAATAACCCTTATAAGTATGTTCGTAACAGATTGTGTCATAGAATAGATGATCATAGAATAGATGATCTCGAAATTCGACACAAAATTACAAAATCCACACGGTTTCGACTCGGTTTAAAAATCCATATTCCAACGGTTGACCCGTTTATTACGGTTAACAGAGAAACGGCGGGTCGACGGTTATATTTTGAACCGCTAAGATCAACCACGCCACCTTCCTTGCTGTTTCCTTCCCCTAAAGTCGGTTTCTTAATCACCAGTTCACCACAAACACTATAAAAATTCATCTCCAATCTCACTTTCACCAATCAACCATGGAATACAGAACCTTAGACCTCACTCTCGTCTCCGCAAAGGGTATCAAGAAAGCCTCTCTCATCGGAAAACCAGATGTCTACGCCGTCGTTTACATCTCCGGCGCCCGAAGCAACCAAAAGCTTAGAACCCCTGTTGACAAAGACGGAGGTTCCAACCCTACCTGGAATTTCCCCTTGAGTTTTACTGTCGATGAAGCTGCCGGATTACAGAACCGACTGACGCTCGTCGTCAAGATCAAGGCTGTGGGGATTTTCAGCGATAAGAATCTGGGACAAGTTCACGTGCCGATTAAAGAGCTTTTGGAAGGTGTATCGAATGAAGGGAAGACGCAGCAGCTTGTTAGTTATCAGGTGAGGACGAAGTCCGGGAAGACGAAAGGGTTTCTCAGTTTTTCTTATAAATTTGGGGAAAAGTTTTCCGGTAAGGCGGAGGAGCCGGTCACGGCTTATCCTCCCGGGATGGCGGTTGGATCCAGTTCAGCGTATGCACAGCCGTATGGGGCGGCGGCGGCAGGTGGGTATTACCAGCCTCCTGCTACTGGCTACCCTCCTCAGCCACAGACTGGATATGCGTACCAGCACCAGCAACAACCGGGTTATGGTGGTTATCCTCCGCCACCACCGCCGGGGTACGGTGGATATCCTCAGCAACAAGGGTACGGGAATCCGGCGGTTCAGCAGCCTCCAAAGAAGAGCAAATTTGGTATGGGGTTGGGAGCCGGTTTGCTAGGTGGTGCACTGGGTGGACTGTTGATCGGCGATATTGTGTCGGATGCTGCTGACGGTGGTGGATGTGGTGGTGACGGTGGCGGGTGTGGCGGTGGCTGCGGCGGGTTTTAATATTACGTTTTTTAATTTGATACTTATATAGCATGAGTTGGTTTGTTGTTTTCATTTCCATTGTAAATATACTTTCGGTTTAAATTTAATAAATCAACTCGTTTTACATATCAGTGTGTTTGGACTTTGGATTGCATTTGGAACTTGGAAGTGAATATTTAACCCAATGATAATAAGACAAAAAAAAAAATAATGTTAATTATAAAAGGGTCATACGCTTAATTTTTTTTAGAACGGTGAGTAAAAGAAATATATTAGCACAAAAAAAAAAAAAAAAAAAAAAGACTTAAGCCGGAAGCTCAAATCAAGAAACAACAAAATTAATGGTAGGAGACATACACCATTGAAACTAGTCTAAGAAGCTAGACCACTTGATGAGCCACGAGCATAGATCTGAAGCAAAGACACACGAGAAAAAAAGGTGCTCTGTACTCCCCTCTGCATTGCCACAAAATGAAGAGAGATCGGTGGGGATATGCACTCCTCTCTTGATCAGATTTCCATTCCTATCTTTACACAATCTCCATACAAAACAATTAACATTTAGACCCAAGTACACCCTGTCATCGAATTCACCACAATATGTGTCCCTGAATGACTTAACCCATTAAGACTTTAGAAGAATCACCAATCCATAACCATTTATGATTTATCATGCCCATAATTGAACTGGAAGTTTTCCACCAGATTGCATAGGCTGATAGGGACGACAACTCAACCATCTCCTTCCCTCTTCTTAATTGGCGATACCAACCCCACCACCCCTAACACCAAACAATCTTTATTTTCCTCGACAGCATATAGTTTGGGAAAGAGCAATCTCAGGGTTATACTGTTAAATACAGAGATTTTATTTTTAATGATAGGCATAATATAAAAATATACATCATCATCATCATAACTGAATATAATAATGAAATTTATTTCACAACAATTGAGAGTTAATGTTTGGATTAATTAACCCTTTTTCCTTAAGATTTCATGCAACTAATCACACCCAGGAAGTTCGGGATTTGAATCCCATGACGCTCACTCACTCGTGCTTATCTTTTCCTATTTCTTTGACAAATTCGAATTCCATATTTATCTTTGTTTTAATTTTCCTTTTATAGATCTACATATCTTCACCATAAATAAAGGATTATTACACACTTACACCACACCTTCCTCGCTGTTTGTTGCCTTCTCCCAAATTCACCCAAATCTCTACTTTCACCGATCAGTCATGGATTACAGAACCTTTGACCTGACACTCATCTCCGCAAACGACCTCAAAAAAGCCTTCCTCTTCGGAAAATCAGATGTCTACGCCGTCGCTTATATCTCTGGTACTGCCGGCAATCAAATGCTTAGAACCCCCGTTGACAAAAACGGAGGTTCAAACCCAACCTGGAATTGTCCCATGAAGTTTACTCTCGATTTCACCGCCATCTTACAGAATCGCCTGAGACTCATCGTCGAGATTAAGGCTGTCGGAATGTTCGGTGATAAGCGTTTGGGAGAAGTTCACTTCAAGTTCATGGAGAATTGCGGATCGAATTCGGAGCAGATGTTTGTTAGTCCTCGGGTGATAAGCCCCTCCGGGAAGAAGAAAGGCTATCTTAATGTCACCTATCGTGTCGGGGAAAAAATCTCCGGTAACTCGTTGGAGACCTTAACGGGTTACCCTTCCGGGATGGTGGTTGGATCATGTTCCGCCTATCAGCCTCCTGTTGCTGGATATGCGTACCTGCACCAGCAGCAACCGGGTTATGGTGGTTACCCTCTGCCACCACCGCCGGGGTACGGAGGATATTCTCCACAGATGAGATACGGGTATCCGACAGGCAGTTCAGCAGCCTTTATTGTATGTTTATACATTGCCTGCATTGGTTTGTTTGTTTCCACGTTCATTTTATCTTTAATCTAATGAGGCACGAAAAATAATGTTCACATTTTCTTGAGTGATGGTATTTTTAGGTTTTATCATCTATATAGATCTATTTATTTATAAATTTATCAGAGTTATCTATAAATCCGATTCAAATAAATTTTAGACTTGGAATAATGATAGAAAAAGAGACCAGTTAAAAAAAACAGATTTTTAACTTATTAAAAATGTATTATGAATTATGATCTATTCTTACGGACAAAAATCAATGATTTTTTCTATTAATTGACTGTTTAAAAAATGGTTATCTCTAAAAACCAACAAAACTATTAGCAAAAAAGGGTATTCGACCCTGCTCCTTTACACGAGCTCACGTTTAGTTTTTCTAGTGAAACTAGAACTAAAAACAAGAATTAACAATAACACATCGTTCTCGAGTTCAACTTAACGAGAGAAAATAAAGGAAATGAGTAAAAATGAAAAAAAATAAAAAAAATTGGTGTTCACGAGTTTCATTAAAAGAATGAAATGGGGGGAAATGAAAGGATCAGTTCCCTTCCTAACTTTCATTCAAATTTGGAAGGATTTGGAAAGAAAGAACAAAATTATTAATTTTCATTCTACTTCTCTCCAACTCGGGAACACAAAAGAAAATTTTGTTTTCCTTTCCTTTCTCTTTTTTTCTCTCCTGACTTTCTTTTTCCTTCTTTTTTTTATAATTAAAAACAAGAATTAAGAATTGGGATTTTCTAACTAGAACTAAAAACAAGAATTAAGTATTGGGATTTTCTAATATGTACCCTTCACAATAAATATTAACCTCGATATCAACTTTCAAAAAACGCTCCACTCTCTTCGGAAAATCAGATTCAAATGTCTACGCCGTCGCATACATTCACGGCTCAGGTAGCATTCAAAAACTTAGAACCCCTGTTCACAAACGGAGGTTACAACCCTACCTGGAATTTTTCCATGAAGTTTACCGTTGATTACGAAACGCGTGGAGATCATCATAAAGATCAAGGCCGTCGAGATGTTCATCGATAAGAAATTGGGAGAAGTCCATGGCCAGTTCGTCGTCGTCGAAACGATCCTGAAAGAAATGATGTATCAACCGAAGGGAAAGGGCAGACGATAACTAATTATCAGTTGACGACGCCTTCGGGGAAGCCAAAAGGGTGTGTTAGTTTCTATGATCGTTTTAGTGGGAAATTTTATGGTAACGGGGAGGAGAATCTCACGGCGGTTGAATCCAGTTCCATGTACGTGCCAAAAGATCTGTATCACCGGCCTCAGCTACTGCTGTTCAGCAACGTCCAAAGAAGAACAAACGTGGTGAGGGGTCAGGAGTTGAGGACTGTTTGGATTCTTGATGAAGGATTCTACTAATGGCGGTGGTGGACACAGAGACGGAGGTGGTGGTCACAAATGTGGAGGTGGATGTGGTGGTGGACGGACGGAGGTGGCTGTGGCGGTGGTTGAGGCTGTTCTTGATGTTACGATTTTAGTCTTGGGATTTTGTGAATAACACATATTGCTTTGTTTGTTACCATTCCAATTAACGAATTTCAATTGTTTGACTACAATTGCGATTATAATATGGATTTTCTGTGGGGTTTGGATAGGATTTAAAAGTCATATTTAATCCATGAAGCACAAAAAAAACAACGTTCATAACTTCATATGATAATTTATATGATTACGTTTTTCTTGAGTGATATAGTGATAGTATTTCATGCATGTTATGTTGTGTCCAAGACATACATAGATCTATTTATTTTTATAAATTTATCTTTCAGTATGATGATATTATCTTTAATTTCATGATTTATTGGTGATCTTGAAAGATTAAATTGGGTTTCTGGTATATTCATCCTCCAATATCTTCACATGTTTGTTTAGTTGGAATCCCTAGTATAGTTTCACTCGACTTGAAGCACAATCAAATCTTGTAGATTGTAACATGGTCTCCCAGGTTAGAGGTGCAAAAAAACAATAATAAAAATAAAATAGCGGTTATAGATTCGAATCTGGTATTAGATCAGACCCGTTCCAAAATTGAGATTGGTTTGATAGAAACTAGATGTGTGAATCCAATCCACCGGTTTATATTGGTTTGGGGATATATTTGTTGAACCGGTATAACAAAAACCTGGTTTGAAAAGCCAGTTTTGAAACTTGTCATTTTCTTTCTAGAAAAACCTGATTTAGTTTTTCTAGAAAAAGTTAAAACATTTTATGTCCTAACTTTTGTGCTTGTGTGTTCTAGAAATAGTGTCACTATTGGACACTATTTACAACATTGTGATTATCATATCACCAACTTCATGTGTAATGTTAAGATGACCACTATAGACAATTTTCTTTACTACAACATTGTTGTATAATGTTAAGACACACTGTATAACCAAAAGGAAGCCTACATCTCCCTTTCACCCTTAGAGACTACCGAAGTAAAATGTATAAAACATATAATCTTAGTTTCAAAACAATACAAACACTGCCACTATACAATGCAATCCTGAAAAGGACTGGTATAAGACTCTTCCGAGGCGTAGCCTCATCCGTATATTTTCTATTTAAATTTCTGACAGGAGGAGACACACCAATTATACATGAAGAACCTCTCATAGTACCCTGAATGTAACATTCGACTTTATGGGTATGTTCCTTCTAACCCCTATGTGTAAAATTCCTTTCATTATTGGTCCTTAGTCGAGTACATTGGGCGTACTCTATGAGTACGTTGGGCGTACTGGATCGAAAAATAGACGTGGAGGCACCCACGTACACTGGGCATACATGGGAGTACGCATGGAGTACGCTAAGCAGGGGAAAACCCTAATTTTTAGGGTTTGTGCCCTATTTAAACAACTTATGTTGCCTTGATTGCATCTTATGGTCAACTTCTACTTCTCCAAACCCTAAGAACAAAACCCTAATCTTCATTGAGTGTTTGTGAGCCTTTTTGAGATCTTTTGTGGTGTTTTTGTGCGCATTGAAGGAAGTGAAGCTTGGTAGCGAGGCTTTGGTCGACTTAGAGCTTGAAGATCCAGGATCTTCATCAACTTTGCAAGCTATTTGAGGTATAAAGCTCCTAACTTGATGGTTTCTTATTCTAGATCTAGTT